AGGAAGAAGGCAACAAATTAGGAAGAAAATTAAATGCATAAGAACAACTTTAACCTAAGTAACAATAATTAATACATTTTTTTTCATTGAAAAAGTGTGTCCCCAGAATGTTGTTGAAAATCGTACTAAAGGAACCAGTTCTTAAATGAACTGTAGTATTTAGTGCATTGAGATACAGATGACATGTAAAGTAGCGCAAGTAAAGGATTGTAAAATTGCCATATCTTTTTGGTTTCTAGAAATGAAGGTAGTGAGGCGGCTTTGCTGGTGAGTACAGTTCTGGTCTTCATTTGTGTCTGCTGAGATCTGGCATGTTCAGATACTTGCCCTCACATTTCAATTGTGGTATTCATCCTTTTAACAGAATTTGAACCCTCTAAACTCCATAGAGTAGAATGGTGAAGGAGTTGTGGGGTTTTTTAGTATGTTCCTGAAAATAGGTTGTGCAGCTTTCAAAGCGCGTAAGATAAAGTTTCTACCTCTATCAAAAAATCACTTGTGAATCCACAAAGAAGTTTCAGAGGACTTTATTTTCTTAAAACGTAAAGGTATTTTTACATCCTGATTATTTTTTTATCATGATTTAATTAGAAGTAATATGAATTGGAAATTTGCATTTCACATACAAGATCCATGTGTTTTTCTTCCTGTAAGTAAAAACTCTTCATCAGGATATACAGTCTGTGGGTTTAGATTTGGAAACTGGTCCTGTGAGCAAACACTTTCCTTCTTGCAAAGTGTCTTTCTGAGGTCAATGAGGATGCACATGAGCATAGGGATCAGCCTGACCTTGTGGTCCACAGGCTAAAGCCCTGTGTTTCTAGAGCAGAAAAAGGCATGATACAAGTCTATGATGATGGCTCTTTTAGCAAAGGCATTTCTCAAATTGTTAGAAAGAACCTGTATATATTAGTGATGTGGGTGCTATAGCACTTCTCTTACTCTTTTCAAGTGGGTTTACCCAGTTCAGCTCAGGCCTTCTAAGCATGCTATCAGTAACCTCTGCTGCAGTGAGGAGTCTGAATTTTTGAGTTCTCTTCTCAGTCTTCAGTTAACGTAGGCAAATAGGAAGGGTAATTTTTTTCGCCAAACGCTGAGAGGATGGGGAGCTGCTCTTGGTAGGAGCAGCAGCAGGGGCGCAGCGCAGGCAGCTGGTGCAGGAGGAGCCGTTCTCACGCACTCCCTGTCTCTCTCACACAAATGTCATCAGCTGGTGGTAGGAGTAGTGGCAGCAGGATCACAGGGGTGTATCTCACATGATTCACTGGGGTCCTGAGTTTATAAAAATAGTAAAAAGAACAGACACAATTTCCAATAAGAAGTAATCTCTAGGGTGTAATGCCCTGGAAGGCAAGCCTTCTTTTCTTGTGGAATTTTCCACTTCTCCTCATCGTGACGTCTTTGCATTGCAGACACCAAGCAGTTGTGAGCATTCCCATGGCAAAGCAAGTCTGTGGTTTGCCATGTGCACAGGCTCATTGTTATAGACTCACTGTGCTTTCATTTTCTTTGTTTTTCATTGCCAGACATGGAAAATAGAAACTACCCTTTAGTGAATATATTTCCTGTCTTACTAAAATGAAGAAATAATTGTTGATAGTTCTTGCCTTGGTCTTGCCAATATTGATTTCCATTAAAAAAACCCAACAAGCCTTACCTGATATCCATACCCCACCCCCCCAATACTTTAGTGCTTTAGGAAAGTTCTGGATTGATATCTCTAGACAGTGAAGTCTTCTATCTGTAAAACCTGTCACCAGCAACATTATTTTATCTTTTTAGCCAGTATGTCTCAAGCATAGTTGAAAACAGCACAGCTAGGGTTGTATTGGTGGCTCAGACTTCATACTCACTTAAGCAGAAGTAACAATTGGCGTCAGTGATGCTGCTACACTGATCTCCAGCTTGATACAGCACTCAAAGTCCTCTTCTGTATTTTACTATTTTGTGCATCACCATCAAAGCAAAATTTTTCAAATTCTCATTTAGACACTTGTTCTGCAAATATGTATGCCTTTGTTTTGCACTAAATTGAATAATGTCACTGAAGAAAGTGGGGTTAATCACATATTTGTGTTAGGTATATGCTTAGAGTTTTCAGAATAAAATAAAGATATAAAAGCTTTATTTTAAGATTTATGGCCCAGATGGCATCCAGCATCCACATACAGTATTAGTAATCTGTTCTAACAGCTGTTTTACATCCTTAGTACCAGTACTTAAAAAGAACAGTAAAGCATCTTTGTCAATAAACAACAAAAAGGTATGTATTCATAGTAATATAGTACACAGACATTAAATTAGAAGATGGGAAATTCCTTGCTGCAGATGACAGCATTTACTCTTATTTTCAGCAGCTTTATTCATTATTCTTCATAAAAGTTTGTTTTCAGCAATTAAATCTTTTGGTGTTATCAGTACTTACTGATAATTCAGTGGCAGAAGATACTGATTTGTATGATGGAATTTCAGTCTGGTTTTGTACTGATCTATAATAAAGAGGCTGTTGGTAGTATAAATTGTATTGATACAAATTTGGCCAAGTTTGATTCAGCTAATTGGCGTGCTACTGTCACTCTTGAACTCTACTGCTGATTGTAGCTTCACATGTCTAGCTTAAGAGCAAAACTTTGCTAGTTGTCAAAGTGCTCTAAAGTATTTTATTGAAGTTATTTGAAGTTTGATTTATTGTTGCATTGAGAACAAGACCAGGGTGCATAAATTCTGAAAGAATTCCCTAGCTGGATTAACTTGCAAAAAAAGGGAGTTCTGAGGATTCCAAACAGTTCTTACTCTTTGTACTTCACGCTCATAAAATCTTACTGTGTGATCACAAACCAAGCAGATTCCATTTTAAAGCTTGTAATGATGTGGACTCATTTCCTTAGCAGGTCTTGTTTCTTGATCAGGTGATCAGAAACAATCTGGTTAGTACAATATAAGAATCTCTCAGCTGCAACATGATAACTGGCTGTATGCACTCTTACAGTCAATTCAGTACAAATAATACTGGTTTGCTTAAACCACATTCCTCTTTCAAGTACCTTTCAGCATTTTTAAATGGTTTGCAAAAACCTGTTTTATTTGCCAGAGCAAGAGAGTTATGAGTGTGCATGTAGTTGCTAGTCTCAGCTGGCAAAATGATAGCTTACATCTGGAGGCAATAACTTCCTGAAACTCAGTAGCCTGATCCTATACTGAAAATACTTTTATTTTAAAGGGAGGGGAGAAGAAGGTCTCCCTTACTCAAGTATGAAGTGGCACAGTCAGAAAAAGATGGGCCTTTCCAAATGACTGCTCAGATTAGCTTATGTTGTCTGCATTTGCCTGGATGTCAGTGATCGTCTTCAGTTGTCTGTATTGGGTGAATTTCAAGTATGGAGTGTCACGTTGGGTCAGTGCCCTGGTGGTCAGCTTGATGCCTTTCCAGAAATCACTAGAGGCAGAAGTTGTTCTTCTCAGAGGGCTCTGGACCACCCTGCCTGGTAATTTTTGCCTGCATCATCATCTCTAGGTCTTCTTTTGCTTTTGGACTGTAGAAAAAACAGTCACTGGACATACATGTCGTATCTTCAAGTCTGCTTAACAGAACCCTACTGCCCCTTGTCTGTGGTTAGGGGGAACCCTATCGCAGAAGCCAGTTTCACATAGTCAAATTATGCAACAGACTTCATCTCATTGCATAATAATAGAGAAAACCTAAGTCCTTGACCAGGTTCTACCTATGTTCTCCAAATGATTTATTGTGTTTGCCTCTTTTGGAAAAAGCTTTGTAGCTCTATGTTACTAGCAAAGGTTTCCTGGTTTTGTTGTGTGGACCTTAGGGAGGAAAAAGTTCTGATCCTTTAGTACATTTCATGTTGTCTACTATTACTTGTCATTTTTTAAATAAGGCAGTGGTGGTGTACGTGCATACCTTTAAGTCTTTTGGGGGTCTTTCAAGGTGTAAGATGTTGTTATTGTTAGTAATAGTGGGCCAACCCTTTTCATTGCATTTCAAACAAACAATTCACAGCTCTTTAGGAGATAGGGCTAAGACAAATTTGAGCTACATTTTTGTCCTTTCTGTCTGGACTATTTTGGATGCTGTTCCATTCCTGGTATAACTTATACTGTAAGGGTACAACAGCTGCCATGGATTACAGTATTGATGGGCACACTGTTACGAATCCCTCCTGGTCCTGACAGACTGCTTCGGTACAGACTGTGGAAACAGCATTCCCCACAGAGGAGCTTTGTAGTGTTTACACAATACTTAAAATGACAGCTTTCCCCATATTGGATTCAAGGCTTTTGTAGTTTGCTAGGATCTGCCACAGCAGGATGTTAGATTCACCCATCAAGTTTATTTTGGCCGTGAGTTTTGATTGTCTTGTTGAGTTTCTCATTTTGCATTTTCTGGATGCTGTCATACCATTCCAGTATTTCTTCTGGAGTCGTCCATGTTGAAGTGAAATAATTTGACTTTCAGACTACAGTCAGAGGAAATTTTGGAGTGTTTAAAATAAAAGCCTGGGCACAATAAACTTTGTTCTGTTAAATCATATAATTTACATGATCTCCAAGTGTTGTAACATTTCAAGGTTGATCAAACTGTGGAAGTCAATGGATCACTGTACACATTATTTTATACTGGCAGTTCATGTTTAGCATTCACTAACAGAATTCTTTCTGGGAATCTGCTAATGCTTGAGAAATACTACGGAGAATAGCCATTTATTTTGTGTTTCTGTTTTCATTTTGAATGTATCGGTCTTAACAAATACAGCATCTCACTCAAGTTTTTAAAACAAGTGCCACTTCTTTTATTTTATTGAATAAAACTAGACACAGAATCTTTTGATGAATTCTACTGTGCAATAGAGGCCCATCATTGTCACAGCTTTGGGACTGTTTATCATTTGCTCTGCTGTTCACATGGTTACGTGTTATGGTAAGACTGCTTCTGTTTTCTGATTTGTGAGGCCCACCTTTTGTTGTTGTTGTTATTTTGTTAACAGCTTGCACAAGTGGACTCCCGAGCTGTACATCTTGGCGCTGTCTTTGTTCGTGGCCTTACAACTTTGCTCATGGCCAATAGTGCCTGTGGCTTTCCGTTCAGAATGGATGATTTGATGCCTTGGGAAGTGTTTGATGGAAAACTTTTTCAAGAAAAATACCAGCAGTCGCACCGAGGTTGCTCTTTGGAACAGCTTTTGGAAGGCAATGTGAGTAATTGCATCCTCTTAGACAGTTCTGTATTCTTCGAAAAATTTACCTGTCCATGTTTGTTCATTGTTTTAATAATCATGTTTACAGTGGTCTTCTTTCTTCATATTTTTCCTCTCTTCCTTATTCCTTTTTCATCCTCTCTGCCAAAAAAACCTAAGGAGGTAGAGGTACTGAGTCTATGAAGGAAGCTCTAATTTTACCTTTATTTTTGTTTACATTACTCAGAAGTGTAAGGAAGTGTCAAAATGGTTCTCAGTTTCAAAAAATGAAAATGCCTGTAATGGTTTTCTAGTACTAAGGTATTCATGAAATTTTTTCCCATATAACATTTTAGGCAACATATTAACGAATGTCTTTAAGCACATTGGGCATAATTTTTAAAGTGTTTAAGAGTGATATTTTTAGAGATACTAAGGAACCTAAAGTTCGAGATGGAGGTTTGGTGAATTCAAACAAGAAGGTATATACCTAAGTATTTTTTTAGAATCTCACCAAGTACCTTTCTGTACATCTGAGTGCTTATTTAGTTCTCAGTCCCACTTTTAAGAAGCTGGGGATTTGTACAATTTGAATGCTATGTTACCAAGAGAACAGTATGACTATGTCTGCCCAGGCACAGGCAGGGCGGTACCAGCAAAGTCTTGCTGGGTATGGACCATACCTGGTGCATTAGGATGGCATCGTGTCCAGGCTCAGAGGTAGGGTCTGCTAGACTGGGTGCAAGGCTGTATTAATGCAGGGAAGCCTCGGATCAGACCTGACCCATGCCCCACCAGCACAGAATATGTGGAGAGATGCTTGGGTAGAGCTATACTCATCTGTGTAGATAGCTCTTAAGACCTTCAATTAATGTGTCTCCTCTCAATGTGGAACTGAAAATCCTGTATCGTTTAATTACTTTTGAAAATTTTACCTTTGAAATGTTTTTACCTGCTGTTACATATATTGCTTGAGGTTAAAATAAATAAAAATTATTCTAGAGAAAAAAGTTTTTGGTTTTGCATGATTTTAATCTCATGCATTCAGTATCAGTTGTTGTATAATTAGTTTTCTCTTCTAATTTTGTGTCCAATTACATACCATCCTGGTCTGGAGTGATGAGTGGAACGCGTGTGGGTGGGTGGAATGTATGCGTTTTCAGCATGGAGGAGGAAGATAATCCTTTCCATATGGAATAAATGATATGATCAGGACTATAGCCTCTATCCAAATCCTGTGGTTCCCATTAATTGGTCTGTTGATTTCAGTACACTTTTGGATTGGGCCAGTGGTTCATCCAGTTTTTCATGTTGGACTTCTGCAGAACAATAGAGGGTCTAAAGAGTAAGTGGGAAAATGTAAAACTATATAGATCAATGTGAAATTGATACTTCTTTTCCATTTGGGTAGAATTCAGGTTAGTGAATAACTTTTACAATATGTATCTGAATCTGTACAAAATTTGTACTGGCTGAGATGTATTCTTAAAAGTGTTAGGTAGTATGTTTTAGCTAATATTTGAAAATCTTTATGTGGTCAGATTAAAGTTATATTTTAACCTGTCTTAGAAAGAGGATGAAGAAAGATGCTTAGATCCCTATAACAGAGCTGGAAATTTGGTAGATCAACTAAAATATCTAGGTTAGTGTTTTTTAAAGCCTGATACTCTAGTTTAAACAAACCCCAGATAAACTGTTCTGTTGTGGGGAAAAATAATCTAGCCCTGTGAATTTTTAGGGTAGTTTAAATATCTTTTTTAGGTACGATTTTATGGTACATATATGGCAGAGATAGCTCCCAGACTAATAAAATAGCTTTCCAGCTTATCGGTTTAAGGCAAGAATCTGGTTTTGGGAGAATTGCCAAGAGATGCCAGTTTAGCTGGGGACACTGGCAAGGCAACAAGTTTTTCCTATTATTGTAAGTTCAACTTCAATAAATAAAACTGGTACTTAGTTCCTGGCAGAGCTTAATGTACTGCTGGAAGCCAAGATCTTTCAGCGCTTGTTTGTTAACAATCTACCCTTGAGCACCATAAATCTAATCTGATGGTAGTGACAGCATTGTATTCAGAAAAAAAGTTATTCTACATGGGATGTTTTGTTATAGAAAAGGTAAGTAATAGGAAAAAGTTACTCCTATTGGTGTTCGGTGCTTGTCTCCTAACTCCTAAGGTCCCTTCTTAGTGTTGTGTTGTTTATGATGGGCTTAAATACAGTTAATAGCTTTATGAAAATTACAGTACAAATACAATCTTGGTTAAATATATTTGCATGTATACCAGAAATTTTGAACATTTTAGGGTTTGCTTCCCACAGATTCTTCTACCAAAGAGGAGAATATGTATAAATTAAATGCAGTTGATATATGTGTGGGCAAATTTTTGTATAGCTCAGCTCTCTGTAGCCTAGCAGCTGTTAAAGATAAAAAATGGAAAGCTTCTGATAAGAATCAAAAATAGAGCCATCTTGCTTTTTAAAAAAAAATGCTAAGCTCATGTTATGCTAGTTCTCTGTTTTTCATAACAGTAATCATATTAGTTTGTTTATCCACACAGAAAATTGGGTATAATAGTCTCATAAAGCAGTAAGGCAATGATATTATCACTTTATTAGCCTTTCTATTCTGCTTCTCACTAATGAGTATGTTCATGATCAATTTTTTAAAATTAAAACCAAATTACCTAATGGGGTCAGCATAAGTGATATGTTTTGTCCTTTTCTGATCATGCCTTTCATCCAACCTTCATAAACACATTCTGAATTTATTCTCCCAAGAATACAATGAAAGGTTTTTCCCGGTAGTGGGTATTCTTCACAGACTGTACTCAGTTTGCGTGGAAAAAAAAAAAAAACAACTCTGGGTTTTGCTTAAGGCTCTACAAAGAGCTTCGATAACTCAAAAAATGTGCTAGGAAAGTTTGCAGGGGCCGGGGGTGTTCAGGGATTCAGACTCTACCTCTAATTTAAGAAATCTCTCTAGTTGCTGCAGTCTTGCCACCTATTGGATTTTTACCTTATTCTATAATCCTTTCCCCTCCTTCCTGCTCCCCCTCTGCCTTGGTGGTTGCAAAAAGGAATTGTCATCCTATAAAAATCAGTTCAATTTTATGAAAATCACAAATTGTGCTATTGCTCTAAAATCTGTCTTTTCATAATTCTTTTCCATGTGTACTACTGCTCACATGCCTGATAGAAATCAATAAAAAATAAAAAGATTCTAAGATATGACATTTCTTCAAAGCTTGCTGAAATCAGTGAAAGTTAAGGATGTATCACATCTCTTAGTATTGCATCTTTAAATAGCTTCAACTTGTCCTTTTGGCAGTAGAACTTTTCATCACACCACAAGGTAAACATTTTTATTTAATTCCCCCGTTTCTCTTTAGACTTGGTTATATTTTATCAGCCTGGAGTTTGGGCTGTTGTGTTAAGTTTTGTTTCTAATGTATGAGATTAAGATACTTTTGATTTTTCACTGGTGTGCTTCCCATGAGTTCATTAGTCCTTATCTGGAGGCTTTAACCATCTCTGCCTGAGGTTTTGCTGATAGAAGTCTAGTGAAGTATATCTACAGGTGCAAGGTAATAGAATAGGAAAGCAAGTGATTTACATATGTGAACAGAGAAGAAAAACAAACTTCACTGAGAAAGAGGAAAACATTTCTTCTGCACCCCAACTCATCCCTCCAAGGATCCACTTTTAATATGAAATGTTTGAACTTTGTTTCCTGAAAAAATGCAAACCAGATCTACCAGCTTCATGTATGTATCAGTGTCAGCTAAGAAAATACTTTCAGTTCTTGTATACGTGGTTGATTTGTGCTGCACCTGAAGAGAGAAAAGCAGAACAGCCACTGAATTTTAACCTTATTGTCTGCAGGAGTCTTTGTATACACCTTTCCAGAATCTGAAGTCTTTCATTTGCAAGGCTTGCATGGCGAAGAAAAGAACAATACAGAGCAGACCAAGAGGGAATGGATTTATCACAGGTTGGTATTGTGTTAATTTTCTCAATAAAGTCAATGTATTGATGAGCTCAATTATCCTTCAACAGCAGCAGCATTTACATAGGTAGCCCATCAAGCTAAGAAAATAGTAAGATCTTTCTCCAAGAAACCAAAGGAGAAATCTACAGAAATATTTTCTGGTTTTAGGAATTCATGTGAATTTGATTACCCAAGTTTGGACAAAATAATATTTCCATCTAGCTACATAGTTAGTGAGATACATGCAATAAATAAAATATCATTCACTGACAGAAACATCACTGCTATTTACTCAGTGACTACAGTTATTTTTGTAGGACGAATTAGATGACTCAGAGGTTTTTTCTTCCTTTCCCTCAAGGGAGCTATTTTAACATTGGTAGCTGAAGGTCTGAGTGAGGCGTTGAGAGAATACTCCTTGTTGGACCGATACAGTTCAAATTATAAGAAAATTTTTGGCCTGGAGAATAGCTTTTTTTTTTTTTTTTTTTTTTTGCCTAAGACCTTGTGCTTTTTTTCCCCAACTTTATGGCTCAATTTACTAAAGACATTTGTTTTCCCCATCTGATCTGCCTGACTTCCAGAGAAAAAAGAAACATCTAAAAGGTTTTCAGCATCATTCACAGATCAGCCTGAACGTTGAGGCTTTTGAGGCTTTGAAATAATTCACACTGAATCTCAATGTTTATACTGGTATTGTGTTTATTACCTGCTTAATACTTGACCAGTTATAATGTCTGTGAGGATGAAAATTACCCTTTCAAAATTCATTGAGCAAATTACAACAGACAGAATGATTTTTTTGCTAGTTCAGTACTTTGCATTATGTGTCTGATGTGGTACTAACCATATTGGTGCTGGACATTCAAAACTAAGGGTATCTGTTGGTGATGTATGATACCAGACCTTGTTAGCATCTGCTATTGCTTGAGAGCCATACTTAACCCTTTTACTTATGATTTGTGATTCCAATTGGAACAGAGATTTCTCTTTTGTTTTAATGACTGCAGTCTCCAAATCTGTGTCATAAAATTTTGATCTGGTTTCTAAATGCACTTGTTAACAGCTTGTAATCATGATCTGCATAGATGGAAGTGAGGACAAGAACCATGCTTATTAGGCTGACTTTAGTTTGGAAAAATTGTAATTGCGCATAAGTATTTTGGCACAAAACTAAGAAATGTTGTCTCCCAAAAAAGAATATGCTGTCTATCATTTTTCTTCATTTAATCTTATATACAGTCAGAGTTGCTTAGTAAAAACTGTTTTTCAGGAAGACAACAGAGAGAATTTAATCCCAGGTTCCAGGAAACACATAGAAGTTCTTTTATTCCTCCATATCATAACCAGATGAGGGGGTTCCTATGGAGAAATCCTCAACCGCAAGGTAAAAAATACGTGCATGTGTCTGTATTTGGAATTGCCTCTATCAGCAATATAACAGCTCTGTGTCTATATGCAGTTTGCATTTGTAGGTATGCAGTTACCCTGTGGCTACAGCAGTCAGTAAAAATACTTGTATCAGTTACAGTTGTGTACTACCATTAGCAAAAACTAACTCTGCAAGGTGAGGTAGAGTGTAGCATTATAATCTGGAGTCATCTTTTACTCACAATGTTCTGGGAAAAAAAGCTTTCATGTGGTATTTAAACTTTCCATGTTTGGTCTCAGCTGAACTGTGTTTAAAAATTGTGATAGTTCTAAAGTGAATTGGCACAGCTGCACAGAAATATCTGTCTGAAGTCTGTAGCTGCAGGTCTTGGTTCATACTTCAACAAAACACTTAAGGATATGAATAACGTTAAACATATTCTTAAGTGGTTTTCTAGATCAGGGTCTGAGCTTCCAGATCATTGCCTAAGTAATATAAATGCAAGTTCTGTCTTGTCTTGGCCTTAACCTTAAGTCATTCACCAGTCTCACCTCTTGAATAGAACAGACATTTCAATGAAGCATCACTGTGGATAACACTGTTGAAATGACATAATTCAGTTTTACTTCCTCGTTATTACGAGTTAAAGCATATACGCGTAGATTAAAAAAAATAAGCAAAAGGAAGTGTCTTAACAAAGAGCAATTATTTTATTAAGTCTGCAGAGCCTAAATTTCTTCTGTGTTTCCAGAAGGAGGTTTTCAAAGGAGATTGATGATGTGGTTAGGGAGGATAAATAATAAATACATACAGTAAAGTCTTTAATATGTTTCAGAATGAGATACTATCATTTGATTTACAGATAAGATTGATTATGTATGTAAAATGTAAAGCTAAAATATAGAGTGTGTATGCTGACTGTGAGCAGAACCAAAACTGGTCATTGTTACTGTGACCATCTCAAGAAGCCTGCTATTCAGAGGTCATCCCTGACCAGCTCCAGAGATTTAACAACTAGGTGCATTCCACAAGTATGTTCCACAGTAACTATGCTGAACTGTGTTATAAATGAGTTTCAGTAGCATTGTTAAAATATCTTGGCTTTTACACTAACCCTATTTACTACCCTCAGGATGCTCTTAAAACATGATCCCATAAGTGCCATTAAATTGCCTCTGTTACAAGTAAAATAGATCTGTTGGAAAAATGTATCTGCCCTTACAAAAGAGCCCTGCAATGTTTTAGAGCTCCTTTTAAACTGATCTGCCAAGATGACTCATTTTGACAAGGTTTCTCTTTCCTAAGTTTACTAGTGTTAAGACAGGTATTTGGGTTGCTTCATTATGTAGACATTATGTTGTTGCAACATTATGTATGTTGTCTCTGCTCTATGTGTGTCTCTCACTAAAGAGAAAGAAAATGAACAACAAAAAAGTAGCAATTTTGTGTTCCATGGTAGCTTATGTGATAAAACTTCTAGAATTATTACTGATATCTATCTATCCCATCCTTTATATACCTTCCCATGGTATACTGTTATGGTTCCTGATGTTGCATGTTATATATAAACCATTGGATTAAGTGCATTAAAAAGTAATAGAAGAGTAACCACGGGACCCATATCTTCTGTGTCGGGAGTGTACCTATGATTAGGAAGCCTTTGGTCTCTCTTATCAGTTAATGTTTAAGAATTCCATGACAATGGCTCAGCTTCAACAGTGGAGGAAAGAGTGCCTCCACCCAGAAAGCATAAACCTAAGAAGCACTGGTATTTCTCAGAGAGGATGGTTTGAATCCCCTCAGGCAGAACAAGAATTGAACTTAGGTATCCCTCATTTTATGGTGAATACTAACCACTGTTCTGTTGTAATTAAGATCTCATCCTCTAGTTGTATTTTGGGAAAAGGAAATTCAGCTGCAGGGTTTGGGGTTTTGGAGGAGGTGCAGTGGGAGGGGTTGGGTTTTTTTTGTTTGGTTTTATTTATTTTAAGTTCTTCTAATAAATTTCTTGGCTGTGTGTCACAAATGGAGAGAGTGCATCCATGTAACTCAGAGCAGGACATCTAAGCCTCACAGGGAGGCAGGTTTTTCCTTACTGGTTCTTGTTTGTTAATTTAGAAGACTTCCTATTTAGCATGCTGACTTTTGTGTATCCTGTTTTGAGTGTCTGTCCATTCTGATGCTTGTTAAATAGATCATAGGTATCTAATTTAAAGTTAAGGTCGGGCTTCTGTTACTGAGATATAAATCTTTGCATTGCAGCACTTCATAATCTGTGTGCATTGAGTCTTGCCTGAGGTAGCATAGATGTCTGTAATACAGCATGACTTTCTGGATCCTAGGTTCGTGGCTGAAACACCACACCACATGCCATATAACCTACTGGTAGACAAAACTTCATTAATTAGCAGTTAAGACCACTAATACATTGATTTGAATCACATCATTACCTCATTCTACAAATAACTAAAACTAAACTGAGCACTAAGAACTATGGAAATCACTATTGAGTGTCATGTGTCTCTGTCGCTCTCTTCAGCAGTCCAGCTGATAAACGCTGAGGTTGTTTGTCATAGCATACAAATTACCATCTGCATCTAAATCAACATTTTTTTTTTTGCTATCTTTTGTAAATCTAACCTTGTCTATGCATTGTCTTCTATACTTTTATAACTATATTTTAAAATTTCAGTGATTTGGACAATGATTCTCATACTAGTATATGAAAACCTGTCTGAAAAGCGAGCTGAAGATAAGGGAAGGAGATAGGGAAGAGAGTGTCTATGGGACTGGTTGTAACAGCTACATGAAAGGCTGAAGTCAAGGATACCTTAATACATTAGGAATAGTGAAAGGTATTGGAAAGAATATAGAATTTCTGCCTGTGATAAGGTAGGCACCAGAACTGTCTGTATGATGGACCCAGGGGAGGGACAAGGCCATAATCAGTAAGAGCTGTCAGAGACCTAGAAGTATTGCGTGATAATTTCAGCTACCACCAGAATCATAAACAGTGAG